GGGGAAGAGATGGCACAAGTACACACGTCCTTTACTCAAGTAGAAGTATATACTTTTTAAAAATACTGATCCAGATTTGACGTAATATCTGAAATATGGAGCCACAGCTTTAGACCCACATCCTATCAGAAACGTTGCTATCAGAAACAATGCACAACGTGTTTTGGAAGTAATATGGTCTTTGTTTACATTAGCATCGCTAACACTCAGAGCTAACCTGTACTGGAGAGAGTATGTGTGTGAAGAAGCAGGAAATAAAGAGTTTGAGCTCCATACTGTTTCAGAAATAATCATTGATGTGGTTTGGCGTTAGGGAGGGAGGCGTGTGGTGCAGTGGATAGAGCCTTGGTGTTGGGATCAGGGGGGTCACAGCAGTGTCGGTGCAGTCAGCATGTCGTTGTGTCCCTGAGACACTTCACCCCAAATTGCTCCTGTACTGGCCACAGTATTGAGTATGTAATTTGCTTTGGATAAAAGCGTCTAACATGTCATGTAATGTTTGGAGCATGATAGGAGATCTTTAAGCCCGATTGCCCTCGCCGGTGGAGCACCGTTTTCTGATCAAAAGTTATGTTCAATGGCATTAAAACCCTTATAAACGCTGCTGAAGGTTAATCCAATGTGTCACTTTGAAATGATTACTGATAATCCATCATCATATTTATGGCAGTAAACGTATTTTTCATTAGAGCGTAACAGAGCTTTCGGTTTGGGCAAACTGCGTGCGCATCACTTTCATTCCTCAATGGTAACGTGGAGGTGGATTTAGGAACTTCCCCTCAATTCTATTGGCTCTAACGGTTCAAAAGAGATGTCAATCACCAAAATCGACCAATGGGTTCCAGAGAAACGGGAAATCCACCCAAATGACCCCAGAGGGTTTTTTTTTCTAAATCTCTCTAAAAAGGTCAAATTTAACTTGTTTTCCATCAATATTAATACAGGGTACTTATTATATGTTATATTTTGGATTCCTAAAGCTTTTAGTCTCCGATCCCATCATTCAAGGGTGGTTTTCACTATAAGTAATGTTTTCTTTTTGGACGGACACTAACATTTAAAAATTTTTACTATGTGCAATCTGAATTGACTTTAAAATAAAAAACATCTATATTGATTCTGACTCTTCTACATCCAACACACAGATGTAACCTTGCTTTGAGAACAAAGATTATTAATGTAACCCTTTTAGAAGTGAAGTTATGGTCATTTGTTCTGGGAATGTCATTTTCGAGCCTGAGGCCTGAAAATCAGGCTCAGGGCTTAACAGGTTAAAGTCAACTTTGTTTTCAGTGTTTCCTCTCCTTCATTCCTCCCTTAACGCTCTCCACCCTCCTTTCTCCTTCTTTTCCTCCTCCTTGAAGCAGCGCAGAAGAAAACAAAGTGTCTGAGCGTCTGACAGCTCGTCTACCTGAGGAACAACAGGAAGTCCCTGTTCACTGTTTCAGGTGAAACAAAACGTCTGACCGAGGAGAGCTGAGGGCCAATCAGGAAGTCCCTGAGCAGGAAGTCTTCTTCTCCTTCTCTGTTTACGGAGAGACACCCCGGCAGGCTAATTAAAGACGTCCAATTAGAGCGGCGTCAGGCGGGTCAGCAGACATCAAAACAGTCAGTTACCTTTAATCTCTAATCACAACAAAGTCACAGTCTGTAAACACGAGAGGAGCTGAAGCCGCTGGGTTTCACTCGAGAGGAAGAAGTTGAACTCGTTCTAACAGCAGAAGAAAACTTCCTGTTCGTCTAAACTGTGGACGATAACAAAGAGACACAAACTGATGACATTAATGTCCAAAATAAATGTAAACAAACATCTTAAAAGACTCAAAATAACTACAAATATACACAGAATGACTGTAAAGTGACACAAGATGACTACATTGAGACACAAAGTGACCTCTAAGGACAGAACATATCTTAATTTACAAAGAAATTACAACAGAAAGACTCAAAATGACGACTGACAGATCAAAAGTAACCGCATAAACACACAATGACTCGAGAGTTTCACAAAACCACTGCAGGAAAGGGAAAATGTCTAAAGTGAAGATTTAAACAAACCCCAAAAAGATGGAAAAATACTTGAAATACATGCAAAACAACAAAAGATCACTACAGAAACAGATCAAAAATAAACACAAATCCACACAAAACGACTGCAGGAAAATGTAAAATGTCTGAAAAACTATTCTAAAGACTAGAATTTGATGGAAAACAACTGAAGGGATCTCAAAACGATTAGAAATAAATACAAAGTGATTTCAAAGAGACAGAAATGCGAACAAAAATGACAAAACGACACAGAAAATGAGTACAAGAGTATGGGGGTAGTGGTGCACGATATTAGGAATTATGACGTCATCCCGATAAACCCGATAAAAGTATTAATAGCCCCGATAATATACAATATATTTTTTGGGTTAAAAAAAAGAAAAAAATACTGCGGTGTGGGTGGATTGGGATGAGGGGCGCTTGTTTTTCACTCGGCTCCTCCCGTTTTGCCAGTACTGTGGTATTAGTGGTTTAGGAAGAGGGGAGTTTTTCACAAATCCAGCGCTCCCTAACTCATGCCTGGCTGTGACGTAAATGGTGTGCGGCCGTGAAGCCAGGACAGTAAACAAACATGTCGTCGGTAGTATGGGACTATTTCAAAGTTTCAGAGTTAGATAGTTCGCTTGCTATTTGTATTAACAAATGCAATGCAGAAGTTCCACGAGGAGGGAAAAAGGCAACGAGCTATAATACTTCCAACCTGATTAGTCACCTGAAACATCGCCATGGCTACGATGGTGTGTTAAAAGCTGAACTAGCGGCGAATCCAAAGCCAGCTGCAAAGGCACCGGGGCTTTTTATTTGGGAAAATAAATATGGTCACTTTGAAGAGTCAAAAACTGTTCTTGGCTTTGTTTTGTTCATAGTAGTAATGCTCATGTCATTTGCTCACTACTAGTCTTTTTTTTACCACCAGGTGTGCAAAAACTACAGGTACATTTAATATATATATATATAATATTTATTATCGGTATCGGTATCGGTCTTGAGAAGCAGGAAGGTATCGGTTTCAAAAAACCAATATCGTATATATATATATCTTAAACAAAGACAAAAAACCCTCTGTGGAGTAGCATACTACTGTGAGGCAAAGAGAAAATAAGTGCTGACCGTGAAACTTTATCAATGCAGTCTTGATCACATTTTGAGAACAACAACAATCTGTGTATTTATGTTTTTTTTTTTTTTTAAAGTAAGTGGTGTGTGGGAGGTCACTGGGGACAGGAAGATATATATTTTTCACCTGGTAACAAAGAAAGAGTCAAACTCTATGAATGCATTGACTGTTTAACAAATCACCTACCTGCTATTACTGCAATTAGTCTGGCACACAAGACCTTTGACCTCTCTGCCCAACCAGATCGCACAGAAGTATGACGCTCAGAAAGAGGAGGAGCTGAGGGTCTGGATCGAAGACCAAACCGGCTGTACCATCGGGCCCGACTTCCAGAAAGGCCTGAAGAATGGAGTCATTCTGTGCACGTAAGAGAACATTCCAGATGTTCGGTTTTTATCTTGTACAGTGCTTTGAAACACTTTAATAACTCCCCTTTTCCCCTTCCAGCCTTATGAACAAACTGAGCCCAGGCTCTGTGAAAAAGGTCAACCAGTCAGCGCTGAACTGGCATCAGGTGAGTTGGAGGATGACACACACACTTTTTAACCAATTAAGGGTGCGGCAGAATGAATGGCTTTTGGTAGCTCTTCTTTGAGGCTGTTTTGTTGTCCCTTTTTCTGTACGAGGGAAGTGGCAGTTTCTTTTGCTGCTTAGAGCTGTTTCTGAAACTGGTTTCTAATACTGATGTGCAGACAGTCACAGTTAAAACACTCCCTTATTCAAGTATGGCTGAATAGCAAAACCGTTTTTCACAACTTCAAGACTTGTTCATATAAATAAGAAATATAAATGACAACAGACTTTATATTTGTTTGTTGTGATTTTAGCTGGAGAACCTGACGAACTTTTGCAGAGCCACCACAGCGTTCGGCCTGAAGCCTCATGATCTCTTCGAAGCCAACGACCTGTTTGAAAACGGCAACATGACGCAAGTCCAGTCGACGCTGCTCGCTCTCGCTAGCATGGTGAGTGACCAGAATCTGTGGTGGGAGTAAAGTTTTCTTAGAATAGTTTTATACTATCGTGGTGAAAGATCGGATTTAGTTTATTTACCATCACAGCTAATTACTGCTTCTTTTTTTTCACAGGCCAAGACCAAGGGCTGCCATTCGAACACGGACATTGGGGTGAAGTACTCTGACAAGCAGGAGAGGAAGTTTGATGATGAGAAGATGAAGGCAGGACAGTGTGTCATTGGACTACAGGTACATGTCTTTTTTTCAGTTAAGAATTAGATCTGAACCTATCTTTTACTGAGCAAACAAGAAGATAAAGTGTACGTGTAAACAAATCCTAAAATCTCCAAATGTATCGTAACCCTTTTTTATTTAGACTTCTCAATTATTTCTTCTTTCATATAAATCAATCCCCCCTTTTTATGTTCTTGTTGGTCCAGTTTTGACAATCAAAGTCAAGGCTGTGGCAAACTAAATAATCAAATGTGACGAGATAAAACATTGCCAATAAAAGTATACCATTGAACTTGATGAAATATTACTCCATGGTTTGATATCTTTGTCTGTATCGCCAGAGGCGAGTGCCCTGACAGCCGAGCTCACCATTTCATGTGTCGAAACTATTGCATCACCAGCCGTGTCATCATCTCATGTCAAGCTTGGCATACTTCAGTATAAATCCTTCATTTTTCTCAGTGCTTCCTATGCCTCTGTTTTGTCCTTGTCACAGTTGACAAGACATATGTCAGGTAGAGATGAGGGCTACCCACTGTACACAGTGAGGGAACCTGCAGTACGACTTGCTGTTTACAACAAGCTGAGTTCTGAGTATCATTTCTGACAGCTGACTGAAACTTGAAATGTTTGCCTACTGTCATGTCAAGAAAAAAATCACTCACATCCTTGTTGATATTATGCAACATTGAGCCACTGTGTTCTTGCACCATTGCAGAAAGTTTAAATATTTACTGTGGCTTCTTTCTTTTAGATGGGGACCAACAAATGTGCCAGTCAAGCAGGTATGAACGCATATGGCACCCGGAGGCACCTCTATGACCCCAAAGTTCAGATCCAGCCCCCCATGGACAACACAACCATCAGCCTGCAGATGGGAACCAACAAGGGCGCCAGCCAGGTACTGCAACACGTTCCAACCTCTCATGAAGTCTTGATTATAGGACGCCAGTGGAAATGGGCCTCAGGGCACCACTTGTTCTCCCACTGCTGTGAACTAGTGTCATGTTTATTCTTGTAGAAACTTCTGGTTTGAAGACTGGATCTGTTCGCCAAATCATTAAATGAATACAAATCTCACAAAAAGTAGGATATATCGGGCCTGATATTGCGCATTAGAGCCGATAATACAAAACTAAATAGCTTTCATAGACATTTTTGTGAAAATGTTAATGTTAGAAAAATAGTGGACGAGTCTACAATGCATTTTTCTCCTTGTGTTTTATTTGGAGCATAAGTATCCCTAAGCCCTTGTTTATAAAAAAAAAAAGCACTATCTTTGTAATAAAAATATATATATATCCTTTGATTTGACGGGTTATGTCAAAATGCTTTATGAAAGCCAATGAATGTTTTAAGGTTATTTGTGGTGTACTTCACTAAAAATAAAAATAACATAAGAGATGTTAACAATAGTGATCTATGAAATATTAAATCATTCAGGAAATTAACTTCTTTTGAATAACATAAATGTATAATTAGGACCATTGGCCATGAGAAGTAAGTCAATTTGGAATCTGCTGAAAGAAAACTGTCATTGAAAAATGTTTTTTACATGTGATACTTATTTTCTCTGTCTCCACTGCAGGCTGGGATGACGGCTCCGGGGACACGGCGGGCCATCTACGATCAGAAGATGGGCACGGACAAGTGTGACAACAGCACCATGTCCCTGCAGATGGGCTACAGCCAGGGAGCCAACCAGAGCGGCCAGAACTTTGGCCTGGGCCGGCAGATCTATGACGCCAAGTACTGTCCTAAAGCCGCAGAGGTCCCAGACGAGCAAAACGGAGCTGTCGGCGCCCGTGAATACATCCCAGAATTACAAGATGAGGGTTACCAAGGTTACCAGGAAGAAGAGCCGGTGTGCCAAGAAGATGGGACAGATTACTAGGAAGGAAGGGAAAGAGATTTTCCAAAGGAGGCATAAATCCTCAAGTCTCACAGGATGTGGAACCTTTTTCTTTGGTCAGATCCTTTTTAGTATTGTACGGAATTGTTTTCTTACCCCTATTTGTGCGAGAACCAATGTTACACGCCTCATGATGAACTGTATTTCTGTGATTTTTGTATTTAAAGTGACCATGAAAGTCAATCTCATTGGCTTGGCTAGTTTTCTATCCCAGGGATGTGCCAAAGCACATATTTTTCTCAGTGTTTTTTGCTGAGCTATTGATTACATTAAGGGAGATTCCAAGGCTTTAGTAAGGGCAACTAAAAACTGAAAGTAAAAGTGAAACGTTAGTTGTTGTTTTTTTTTAAGTATGTAAAACATGTTTTCGATCAAACACCCATGTCTGTGTTAATCTGTAACATTCCATCCTCTGTACAAAGAACCATGATTCCTGTGAATGTGTTTGTACTTCAGTATCGTCTTTTCCCCCTCAGTATTGTTATTTGACAAACAGAAGTGAAAATGTTCGGTTACCGAGACCAATGAGGGAACAATAATCTTAGCTTTTTATAAAGTGTCATTTCTCTCATTCATTTCCCTTTTTTCTCATAAGTGAAGGAAATATTTCCTTTGTTTGCATAACCAGTCCAACTGGAGTAAAGCTTGTTTTCTTTGGATAAAACATGGGGGGGGGGGAAGTGGACACAATAACACAAGTGACGTTTTTAACATTCCGAGCAAAAATACTGGATTCTTTTGTGTCAGTAAAGTTAAAGGGTTGAAATGCAAAGCAATCATGACTATATTTGGTCATTTATGATTATTATTTATGCATATTTGAATGGGGGTTGTTTTGTACCTTGACTCTGAGTATCCTTTGGTATGTGCCTCATTTATTTCCTTTTGTATTGAGAAGTATGTTTTTGTGAAGAATGTAATAAAGACGTGTATTCATTACCATGTGTCGCATAGGATGAGATTCGTACACTTTGCAGTAGTTTTGCCTTGTTTTGGTCTCTGCTATATAAGATCACACACAAACGGTCAGTTGCTGCAGAGAAACATTTATCTCATTTTGAAAAATGATGAAGTGGCAAAACAGTTGACCAGAGATGATGAATGCAAAAAAAAAGAAATGAAACACAAGCCGTCAACACCAGTTGCAGTATTACTACTGCTCACTACCGTATACAACTTCCTTATGAAAGTGAATTAAATTTTAAAGGATTGATTAAAAAGAAAGAAGTGTCTGTCTCGTGGTATCCAGGCATATATGGTTTTGGTTTTCATTGGTTAGGTTAGGAAGAACACCTGAAAAATCCATCTTGTATCATTTGTATTGAGGTAGAAGTAGTCAGGATATCTGAATACCTTGGCAAAAGTAAAACCAGAGCTACAGTACATACCAATAGAGGAAGTGAGAAAATCCTGTATGTATTTTTGGGATATAGTGAACTCACTCGTTAAGTTCCTATAAGACCTAACATTTAAAAAGCCTAGTTCTGTGTGATTTACCGAGTTAAATGTGAAGATGCAGGGATCAATCCTTTAATATTGCAAGGTAAAAAACATTTAATAAGGTTAATGTAGCAATCAGGTAAAAATAAATGTTTACATGATTGCTACAGTGTTTAAGGAGTTTTTCATTTTCTAAAAAGCCAACATATAATCCACACTATAAATTCGAATACAGGTTTTAGAAAAATGTGGTAAAAGTACAATCTTTATATCAGATGTGGTTTTTTTTCTCAGAATTGAAAAGCCAATACCAATACAATGGCTAAAATACTCTATTGCAAGTAAAAGTACTAGAGTAAAAGTACAAAAGAATCCTGCCAGGGCAGCTTAGAACTTCCCCCTCTGTCCACTCTAGAAAACATAATTTTGAAACATCAAGAAGCAAGGGGTCAAGTATCCTTATCATACAATCTGTTTGCAAATAAATGTAAAGAATCCTTGCAGGCTTGGAAATTTTACTTAGAGGTCCCATGTCATGCTTTTCTGGTTATTATCCGTCCCCTTGTGTGTTATGTAGCTTTTTCTGCATGTAAACGGTCTGCAGAGTCACAAACCCTCAAAGTACACCCTGTAACGAGTAAAACTCTAACACAGAGAAGACCTGTCTATGCTGCCCCGGAACGCCTCGTTGGAGATTTCTCTTTTTCTTCCTGGGTACAGTGACGTATTTGGGTATAGTGACGTAACGTAACGGCTCCGTGGATTGGTCCGTTAAGTTACGTCCGCAGAGCCATTACGGACTTCCTCACACTCACACACACACACACACACACACACACACACACACACACACACT